AATACAAATAGCAAAAAACCCATAGGAAATGAGATATTTCCAAAAAAAGCGCAAAAAACCGATTTTTGTGACCTTTGACCTTGAAATTTAATAGTTGCTTACACCCTACCATATGTAGGTTTTGTGACAACTTTTAGGGTGTCAATATACAAGTATTTACAGACGTACAGCTGGGTATCTCGAGTTCCGAGATTCTTACCTAATTTAAGCTTAAATGACTGGATTACAAGAAATATCGCATTTCATGTTTCCAATACACATTTTTCCCGGCTAACGTCCAGATCTAGCGTCGGTCAGGCAGTAAAACAAGATGAAGACGACTTTTGACGACGTCAACATCGATCTTTGTTTATTTCGCTTCCTTATCATCCGTAAAATAGAATAAATAAAGACAGACTAGTCTATAGGACCTGCGCTCGCATATCAGTTCTGCAAATGCAGTGTTCTCCAAATAGCAGTAAATTCACAAATATGGCAAATCGACCGAATATATACTCCGCACTTATTATTTTTATAGGTGATTCTGGCAGTATTTTTGCTCCAATAATACATACAGGATTTGGGCCATTGAGATATAATTTATGAACTTTGTATGCGCTTTTATTCCGATTCTGTTTTTGTTAGGAATGCATGCAGGGCAAAATGGCAATTCATTTCTTTATGATCTCATGAATATCGTTGTTTCAGTTGATTTTCATTATATCTATTTCAAAGATTGTTTCATTCGTGAAGTAGGGCCAATTCAATTATTTCAAAATAAACCCCTCTCACAGAATGTAGCATACTCAATTATAATCTAAACTTTGTCTTTGATATTGAATATTGATTAAACAATTTTCACAAATCATTTTACTTGAGACGTGTTTCGTTACAGGATAGCTTCATCAGTACATCTAACTATTCTACAATGTCTTTTATACGGGCCGTTTTTTCAGCTGATCTCACTACTCTGCTATCACGAAATCGGTAGGACCTACAAGGTGAATTAATAACAATAAATATAATGATGATAATGATATCTTCATTCACAACGTATACAGATTAGAGTACAATTAAAACAAAATATGTGAACAAAGTGGTTTGACGATAAGAGCAGAGCGATAAAACAGAGCAAGAAGTTATAAAGAATATGTAAGTATATAAATATTTCTAAATGAATATAGTTTCAAAAAACTGAAATAAACATGCTTTTGAAGAACATCGAACTAAGGAGCGAAAAATTTTTTTTCAAATAAGTTTAAAACAATATATGTCAAAAAAGAGGACTTTCATCGTGAAAAAAAGTGTTTTTCACCGTGGAGAAATTGTTTTTTTTTCACTGCCGAAATAATTGACAATTCATAAC